TGCGAGCCCCTCTTCGGCGGAAACGTTAGTGCATGCGGCCCTAAGAGTATGCTTTTAATGATCATAGATCTAGCACGGAGTTTTGTAAGGGCAAAGCTTCTCCCCTCTCTCTCCTCCCCTCAATGCTTATTCCCCCCCCCCCCCCTCCTTCTTCCACTCATTGCTTACTACATTTTACTAGTGTTAGCAACGGTCGCAAACAATTCGTAGACAATGTTTTAGAAAAAAATTCTATTTTGCGAAGCAAAATTCTGTTTTTCCAGTCAGCATAGAACTACTACAAATATGAGTGGAACAAGGGGCATCGAAAAGTAAAGAATATTAAGAGCGTTTGCAAAGTCGAGCGTAATGAAAAGAAATAAACGCCTGAAATTGCTATATGAACAAAATCAAAGCGCTGGTAGTTAACAGTATGTAATGGTCGGCAAATTCAATAGTAGAGGATTTTCTTCTATTTATCTTTCTAAAGTTACAAACAATACATGGCTTTTGGTAAAAACATCTTCAAGCCACATCGGTTTAGCTTCATTCGTGAGCGAATCATAAATCTGATAGATTTTGAGCTACTTAAATTTTGATTATACTTTTTTATGATTTTGCAGAAAGAAGCACTAGTAAGTTTTCGATGTGTTTGCAGAGTTTACGAAGCTTACGGAGTATTTCGATGAGAAAATGACTGATGGTGAGTTCTCAGCAGTTTTTCTTAAACAGTCATAACCTTAGAAAAATTTTCCCACTTTTGAAATTTTTATAGCAAAGCTTTTTGTTTGTGAATGCTTGCAGAAAGCGACTCCGATAAACTCATGGAAGGCCTCGGCTGAGACATGATTTCTAGGATCGCTACTCCGGATTACCGATGATTTACTTGCCGGATTTTCTTTAAAAATTGTGTGTAATAATTGTCTGGCTAGAAAATTGCAAATTCAAATAATCTAGATGCACTCTTGGAGAGTGCAAAGACGAAATCTAAGAAGTAATTTATTACCAAAATCTATTAGCAAAGTAAGGTGATAAACCCATTAACATCACCAGGCACTCGGATGGCTAACGTCTTCGCTCTCCATTCGACAGAGAGCTAAGTATTTGTTTCTGCGGGTGTACGGCGCAGGAGAACAGCCCACACTGACTTCTAACCTTTTACTAGGTTTCGGCCAACTTCCATGGAATGGATTGGAGTGTTCGGAATTCTTTCTGCCTTTGTAACGAACAAAAACAAAATTCCGCGTTATGGCTGTAGGCAGCTGCACCCAACATCCATCCATGCGGCCTTTCTTCGCTTGCCAATTTTTGAAAAAGACTCGGAAAAGTCGAATATTGATGCTTTTGGAAAATTTTTTCTTGAAATCTTAGATTTTCCTAGCTGCCCAATATGAGATATAGCAAGTGAAACGATCGTATTTTACAGTTAAGATCAGCTTGCGGGTAAAAGGGTACGCTGCCATGTATAGATTTAATTTTGCGAATATTGCAGGATTTTTGTAACTTATAAATCTTTTTTGGGCACCCAGTATGAAAGCTACGTTCTAGTTTTAACGTGGTAAAGGAATTCTTACTCCTTCTATTAGATGTATTGAAGTTTTGTAATGTTCGAAGAGTTACCAAACTAAGCAGTCACCTTCGCTTTCAGCAGTTGAGACGATTTCACCAGAAACTGAGGTATTGTAGACGTCATCCGTCTAGTCACCTCGTGCAATGTGTGCTAGTGCACCATTTGAATCCCGGATGAGGAACTGGGATCCCGCCGTGCTGTATTCAAATTAAGTGCGCAGTCCGCTAAAATTTGACGCCAAACTGCCTGTTTATATTTTGATGCTTTCTTTCTTCTTAGCTTCACACTCGGTCTCAGTTTCGATGATTTGTCATTTTTATACGTCGTGCATGCCGTTTTAGAACGAATAAAAACTTGCTGCTTTTACTTTCAGGTAAGGGAGGCAGGGACCAATCTGGAGGATTTTGAAGTAAACCTGCTATCTTCAGTTCTGTCGTATATTATACTCTTTCTATATACGACAGGCTCTGCCTTCTTAGAAAATAAAAGCGATAAATCTGGAGAAATTGGTTCTAAAAGGTATGCATCTCGTATAAAGGTAACAAATCATCCAAACTTAGACCGTGCTGAAAATAAGAAGAAAAGTTGAAAAACAAGCACTTTGGCGTCAAATTTTAGCCGTACTGCGCATTTAGTGTAATTATGCCACGGCGGGACCCCAGCGCCCTATCCGGGATTTCAAATTTGTGTGTACAAACACCTTCACGTTTTCGGAATAAGGAGTGAAGAGCGTGAAGTTTATCTACATTATTCTGAACGTATAGCACAGAATGGTCTGGCCTTCAATCGTCATTTAAAATACCTTAATCGTCACCTAAAATACCAAATCTTTTGTGATTACCGTATATGTGTACTACATTTATTATCATTGGCCTTGTATGACAATAACGGATACATTGAAAATTGATGTGTGTCAAAATAATTAGCCTTATCTTGTGTTTGTAAAGTAGGTGGATTTCCAAATTTGCAAAGTTATTGTTAATGAAAATTTTAGCCTCAGTATCTTGCACTTAACACAGAGCGGATTCAAGCAATAGAAGCATTAATGAAGGAGCAGGGAATTCTTTTGCAAAACGTATTCGCACCTCATTCAAACCTTAAATTATCATCTTCAAAAGTATCAACAACTCGCCCAAGTTGCATTAGGCAAAAAGTTACTTTTTGCGTGTAATTATCACGAGCATAAATACCACTGTCGAGCTCATAGATCTGCCACTCAAACGAATAATTTCTTGCTGGTTGACCTCTTGCTTGATCCTTGTCTCCAGCGAATTTTTAGTTATGAATTTTTTGTATGGCTGAATAAGCAGAATTTTGGCTTCGTAAAATGTCTGGTAGTTGAACTGAACGACAACAACTTTGTTTAGTCTGCATTGGGAGTATGAGTATAATAATGCGCTATACAGGGTGTCCTAAAAAAATGTGAGCACTCTTTGATCGTTAAAAACTCTTTGCTTTCAAGTCTTTCGCCGGGAGCTTGAGGTATTAATTCTGTAAAGCGAGGTTCAACTTAGATAAGTATGGACCAAATCACCAATCACTCTTTATTACTGTAGGATTACGGTATGAACTTTGAGAAGGATTTTGGGAAAGTGCAATTTTTGCCTAAGAAAGAAAACCGAAAACTCAGAAATCTTGTATTGGACCATACGAAGCCGCTAAACCTATACGAGCTTTGAGTTACTCCAGGTTTAGGGAAACATCTGTTTTTTCAATGTTCGTCAGAAGTGTGATTATACCATCCGTAATCCTACATTAATAGAGAGTGACTGATAATCCGGTTCATACTGCATATCTATGTAAGTTTAACCTCGTCCTAAAGAGTGATACCCGCAGTTCGCCGAAAGTCATGAAAGCGAGAGGGCTATTAACGATCAAACAGTCTTCACATTTTTCTTTTGGGACACCCTGTAGAAATACGTGCTTGCAAAAGAGACGAGATTAGTTCAAAAAGACAGTTTGTTTCGGGAATAACATCAAAAATGAAATTGAGCAAAACCTCTCATCAAGTTAGCTTCAAACTTTCAATGCCTCTTTATTTTTCTGCATATGACATCGCAGAATCGACATGCCACAAGATTAGAAGTCTTAGTCAGCGCCAAACATGTGACATCGCCTGATATCTTAGTAAGCGCAAAGCATCTAATATCAGCGATTTCAAGCGCTTAACATCATTATATTGATGGAAAGGTGGTACGATAGCACTGACAGTTTCTATTCGCTCATGTATTGGCAAAGATAATGGTTTTAGTAGAGGGTGTACCAAATGGTTTTAGTAGAGGGCGTACCAATTTGATAACGAAAGCACCCGTACTAATAAATGATGCGAAATGCTATTGGCGGAGTCATTTTGAATCTTTGTGCACTTCTTCACGCTCTCGAGTTATTCCTCTTACCATACATTCCTCAGCTGCATTTCTCAAACCAACCCAAAATGCAACAGCGGTGCATTGGTATGGATTTTCTGGCAACAGAAACGCAAGCAAAGTTAAATAACGAATCAAAAAAGCAACATCTTTTTTTAAGAAATAATAATACGTTAACTAGACAATCGCAGAAGATCTCTCTATGCTTCCCGGTCTCCAAACTCTGGGCCCGTGCTTGCATTTAGCCTTAGAAGGTAAAAGCAGAATTTTGCAAAATTCGTGAAAGTATCCCACACGATTTGAAAGCTGTGCAATTACTTGTTTATTTCATGGGTATTGAAGTGATACTTAAAATGTTGCAGATTCAAATTAGTCTCGTAAACGAACTTTCTTAGGCTTTATTGTGATCAAAAACTGCGCAGTTAGTTTTCCTGGTATGAGTCCCTCAAAAAAGTCAGAACAGGTCGGCTCATGCAGAACCACACATTCTGAATATTCCTACTGCCTAAAAACTGGTGTTTGGGAAGCTGGCCTAACAAACAAACATCATACAATATCGATGTTTTTGAAAAAATGATGCACAGTCGCCCGATTCATGTGACGTCACCGTCGCATGTCTATATCTCGCTTGTTTGGACGAATTCTTGATCCAAGGGCAAAATTCGACTCAGCGGGGCGAGGCGCATCTTCTAGTATGCAGAAGTGTCGTTTGAACACAGTAAAAACCAGATTCTAGGAATCGTTTAAGATTTTTGCTTACGGTAGTTCATTCGGTGTGCTTATTCATTGCACTCACTGGGCAACCTACCATGAGCAAAAATTGGAACGAATCGTGAAATTTGGCCTCCTGCTATGTTCAAGCTGATACTTCTATATCTTAGAAAATGCGATTAATTTTTTTTTCCTCTGAGGCGAGATATGGCTACGCTACGGCGATGTCACGTGTGTCGGGCGATTCTGCGTCGTTTTCTCTAAGACATGCGAGCGGTATTGTATGTTGAAATGAGCTATAATAATACTCAGCCAAACAAAACAGGTAAAGTTTTAATATTGCACTATATCGATATCAAATGAAATTTGCAATTTAATCACTTTTGTTTTTTAGAAAATGATGCGTCATTTTGTTGCATTTTCACTACTGTTATTCGTTTTGGAAAACTCAGTTGAGGCAATCACTCTTTGCTTCCCCCATACTCACTTTCCATGCAAACAACACTGCTTGAAAAAAGTATGCTGCTTATTTACTGCCTGTTTACTCATCTATTCGAATCCTCAATTTGAGTTCAGAATTGCCAATTTGGACACTGCGGATTTGTAAGAGAAAAAAGAACATCTGGAGGATATTTTCTTCGCTACCCATGTGTCTGTAAGGATTGTCCCGCTGGTCAAAAGGAGAACGAACAGCTTCATTGAACAGATGCACATATTTTGAGCTTTTCAAAAACCAACATAAAGTTTTTATGGTGCGAGTTAGTCAATGTTTTCACCCACAACGATATTATTCAAGTTATCAGCAATTTTTACTTTCTAACAATGTACGAGGGAATAGCTGGTATACTTATTTTACCATGCTGACACAATTCTGTTCTTTGTCCCACTGTCAAATGTTCAGAATTAGTAGATTTTGGAAGTGAACAATGAATTACCAATTGAAAACACATACTTGCGATCTTCTCGCTGACCTGTCCATTGTCAGCATTATGCCTAACTAGCTGGCAAACCCGGCTCCGCCCGGCCCTGTCGTTATCATATTCGTAATCAGCATGCTCGATTACCCCCCTGTGCCAACTCCCAGCCCCGTAGCACAACTTTTGCAAAAAATCGATAAAATCGATATCGATCGATAACGAAAAGTAGCCTATGACACGCTCCCTGCCCCGAAGTATATGTGTGCCAAGTTTGGTCCAAATCGGTTCAGAAATAAAAATTTCTATTCCGCACATACGTACAGACATACAGACAGACATACAGACATTCAGATTTATATATAAGATACACGTCGATGATTGCGTGCATACGCGTATGCACTGACTCCCGTTTAGCCTTTCGTGCTAAACGGGAGTCACTGTACGTAGTATAGTACGTATGCACATCAGTTTTAGGTGTAAAGAAAGTGCTAGGGTATTTGCGGTAACGATACTGGTGGCGTGATTGTCATATAGAGCTCATCGCAGTAGCTCTACAGGAGTTTAAAACGCAAGTTTAGCTATTAAAAGATGTCAATTGTGTTTTATTGACAAGGGAAGCATACTTTTCCGAAGTGTAGTTTTCATATGAAATATATGGTGTCTTATAGCTCATGGAACGCTGCCGAATCTACTTTTGTTATCTGCAAAGCTTTTCTGGGAAGAGAGGAAATGTTTTTAAACAAAATTCAAGAGCTTGGCTGAGGTAGAAACAGGAGCTGAGTTTTACCAATGCTTGAAGGAAGTAATGACGGCATAAATTATTGGGCTAAAGTTAATAATTACACAGAGCACCCTGGCAGTAATCATAGCCGCATTTGAGCTCACAGGCTACACGGATGATTTTATTGTAGCTGCGGATCCAAATTTCTCCTTTAAAAAAAGTCCCCATAACTTTCCTCCCAGAGGAGCTTTGCAGATAGCGAAAGCAGATTTGAAATCAATGTTCCATGCTTTTTGATACGATGTACATTTCATATGGGAACACCATTTCGATTAAAAATCTTTCCCTTGTGAGAAGGTTGGAACTTGTACAATTGTTCTGAGAGGAATCAAAATGAACTCAGGCAAAAAACACCCAATATTATAACGCTTTCCTCAGAAAGAGATTCTCACACATAGCCATTGCATAGTATATTGAAGTGGAAATGATGCAGAAATCTTCGTGCATGTAATTTTTGATAGGACTCTGTACAAGTAATTTTGAAAGTAATAGTTGCATGTTTCATGAGCGAGAGTCAAAAAGGCCTCCACATAATGATTTTGTGCATGCGCGCATATGCACAAAATCATTACATGGGAGTTTTTTTTGACATTTATTCAAAATATACGCACAGTTTTTCTTCAAAATTACTTCAATCACAGAACATGTCAGTGGGGGGGGGGGGGGAGGTCGTCAATCTGTTAAGTAGATCGGCCCAAATTGCAATTACGCACTTCTTCAAAATTCTGCTCAAAAGTAGAAAGAAGTAATTGAGACGCAGATAACTCGCAATCAGATTATTTAGTGGAAAATTTACAGTCAAATTCGTGAGTCTTCGGAATTGCTTCCCTTCAATTATCCACAAAAACTGAATGTCTGCATAGAATTTGTTATAGTAACGCAGCACGAGTAGCACCAACGTTGATTTTGTTCAAATAACTGTTGGTGAAGCCTTTTTACCAAAAGTTTATGAAAGCTATCTGCTACAACATTAAGGCAAGTATCACAGCCATAGCGCTCCATTTTGGATCATTACCAAGAAATGCTAGAAAATTCTTGCGTTATCCTAGGTAATGAAACTGGATTGCATGGAGGCAAGTCATTTTAAGCTAGCTAGTGTAACTAGTCTGCGAATTGTCATGGTCTAGGAAATAATTCATTCTCTACCGTTCCGTTGCGGAGATCAGAGGATTCTGTCCTCGCTCACTTCCAGAAACACATACTTCTTTGTATTATTTAGGAATACGCATCGTGAAGAGCATACACACTATGTAAAAAGAATTCGAGGCGGTTGTCATTATATTATTTAAGGTAGACTTTTGCAGCATTTTTGGTACATCAAAAAATTTACTTGGCCATATTCCTTCTCAGATGCGCCAGTATTACATTTTTATGACCTTTTTATGATTCTTTCTTCTATTGGGAAGCATGTGCTAAAAAAAGTTTTTATTGAAACTCCGAGATTATTGCTTATAGCTGGTTTCATGAATGGATTGCCGCTACGGCAGGAGGCAGATTAATTTCAGAGTGAAAGGTTCTTCTTTTTTCCTCAATTATCGACCATTAAGTTATATTGTATATTATTTTTGTCATTGACAAACCTTCCTAGCGTAGAACACTTAAGCCGCCAAGGTCACCCCCATTGCTGCTTGATAGCACACTTGGCGGCTACTACTTTCATGTAAGCACCAATAATTTTCGAGTGATACCTGTACGATACTGTTGCTTGCCAGAAGGAAGCATCTAGGTTGCCACGCCCAAATAGTGGCATAAATAGACCTGGATGCTCACTTCTGGACTCGTCTCGCCAAATCTATATTCTACTGGAATTGTTTCCCGAATAAACAATTCCTTCAACGTAGTGGCATTCAATATTGGTTAACACCAAATTGGTGCATCGGCCTACGGATCAATTTTACGTTTGCTACCCAGGAAGCTGATAAAGTCCCGCGTGGCAGGATCATATACCACTAATTAATCGAAAACCTCTTGCGCGCTCTGTTCGTCAGAGACCAGAGGCTAGTAAAAACGTTAGTTGGTGATCATTTACCACTGAATGTTGAACCCCACTTGAGCGCTCTTTTCGTAAGAGACCAGTGGGTAGTAAAGAAAACAGCCGGTATTAACCACTGTATATTGAACCCCACTTGCGCGCTCCTTTCGTAAGAGACCAGTGGGTGATAAAGAAAACAGTGTACTTTAGCTACTTGACAAATTGAAAACCCTCTTTGCGCGCTCTTTTCGTAAGAGACCAGAGGGCCGTAAAGGCGTCAATCAACAGTAGCTAACCACAGAATTTTCTGAAAACTTTCCTAGCGCGTCCTTTTCGTAAGGAACCAGGAAGTGGGAAGAAATTTTTTGTGAAAACACCCAAATTCTAGTGAAACTCTCTTGCGCGTCCTTTTCGTAAGGAACCAGAGAGCGGAACAGTTTTTGCGGTCAGAAGTTTCATCGTTTATTCAAGAAATGTTGAACTTCAAGGATTTCTCAATCCTATACTGGGCAAGGCCCAAACCTACCAGTCAGCACAGCGTTCAAGCTAACGGCACGCTTGCTAAGTAACTAGTAAAAGCTACGCACTCCACTGCTAAGCTCACTAGTGACTAGTTTTCTTGCACCCAGCAAGGAAAAATCCCACAGAGGTCCAGGCCCAGCCAGCCTCCACAGTTCTCGACAGCTGCGAATACTAAGTACCCAGCCAGAACTCTACTACAAACAAACACCTGCAGTGCCAAAGCACGCAGACGACGAGAGCGCAAAGGATATAAGTCCATGCGCACAAGGCAGACGATGGCTGAGCTAACTCTATATAAAGCTCGCATTTCTATGGCTTGCTCATCAATCAGCGGTCTTGAAGACAAGGTCCGCAATATTGATAAAGCTTTTGAGTTTCCCAACACCGCAACCAAATGCAACGCCTTTATAGCGGACAAAATAGCAGAGATTGATGAATTGCAAATTACCCTAACAGGTTTACTGGAAAACCTGGAGGCGCAAGTGCAAACTGCCATGAATTTTCTTGGCGCAAAAAAGGACCAGTTAGACAAAGATAGATTGATGGACGATTTGGCTGCCTTCCTAAGCACAGAAGCAAACGGACTACAGCTTGAAGGTATCAACTGGACCAACAGGTTGAAATATCGGACGAGGGAATTAGAAAAACAGTCAAGTGTAATCCACTCATTAGCATCGTCCTCGATGCGATCACCAGTACCGGACACGGACACGGATAGTTGTCTATCCACAAGACAACACACTGAGAACAGGGTCCGATTACCAGTGCTTGAAGTTCCAACGTCTAGTGGAAGCTACAAGGACTACCCGACGTTTTGGACGATCTTCAATTCGCTTATACACAGCAACGCACAGCTTACCGACACTGATAAGTTCCTATTTTTGAGGCAAGCACTAAAAGGATCTGCTGCTTCTATGCTAGGCAATATTCCTGTGACAGGGAAAAATTAGACAAAGCTGTAAAACTCCTCGACAAGAGATACAACAAGTCCGGATGCATAGCTGACCTTCTCATCACAAAACTCGAAAAACTTCCGCGAGCAGAGGAAGACGCCAGTAGCTGCCGAAAAATGCTAACCGATGTGACTGAGAAACTCACTCACATTGAGTGTGCGGGAGTCACCTTGGACAATGGACGAATGTGGAGACGCTTGATACTCTCAAAATTCCCAGCACACTGAGCGAAAAAGTGTTCAGCAAAGAGCAAAATGAAGACAAACCGTTTTCTACCGAGGAAATACTAGACATCCTGGAAAGTGCGGTAGCTCTCAAGGAAACAATCGCCCTTTCAACGGACACATTCCAAGAACGCGTGACCTTCAGCCAAAGCAACCGTTCAAATTTCAACAAGGAATTGCAGAAGCGACCTCAGCGATTTGAGCAATCGAGTAGGACACATGCAAGAAATGGAACACAATCTCGTTGCCTTTGTGGAAGTACGACTCACTCTGTCTCACAATGTCCAACTATAAGGACTCCAGATGTACGTCGAAGTGAAGCAGCTAAGCGAAAAGTGTGCTGGAAGTGTTTCGACCAAAGCCACCGCTCAAGCGAGTGTAAGACATT